CATGTTTAGAGCCCAAAAACGGATGCTGAAATCGTTGAGTATACGCTGTTAATTTATCTGCGGACTATTTAGTTCATGCGCGAATCTCAACGTATTTTGCAATATGAGTAGAATCACGCACAGGCCCATATTATGCGGCTCACACACGCTCTTGTATTACGAGGACTGTGGGTAAATATGTGCTAATATTCTATTGACTTTGGTTACTCAGTATATGTTTGCATACAATCAATGAACAGGCCCGAATCACTAAACTTCTGAGGAAACAGATATTAACATCATTAGCTACACAGTGAACCGAGAGAATTCATCGATCATTACTGAAATCAATACGTGCAGCTAACTGCAATATATACCAGCTGACCAAATGAAAAATGCTAACCTCTGTTTTCTTGCAACGTTTGGGCTGCGTAGAAAAGAAACGCATCTGTGAGATGACATTGTATAGGCGTCGATATCGATATTATTGATTTTGCACTTAATTTTCATACATTATTTTTTACAAGGATATTACGTATATAAGTGTATTAAGCACCGCAACGGATTAGCCTATAGTATATATTAATTAATGCTGATAGTAAGGCGAAATAAAATGTAGAAAAAAATATACAAAACTAAGAATTTGCATATGAATCTAATTAATATAAGAGTGCGTGTGCACATCTAAGCTTTGTTAATGGAAATGGCATTTGTCAATAGAATGGATGCTATATACCTATTAAAGTATCGTTAGTCGTCCCTGTTCCCTGTGTATTTTCTTTTATCGCTTACGGCTTATGCTTACCATTCACAGTATCTGTAGTAGATAGCTACGGCTAATACTCGTGCTGTGAATCATGCAGTATAAATTTAACCGAGAATGTTAAACAGAAATACTAACAATAGCTTGATAGTTAAAAAATTGTGATTGTAATTTGTGGCACATGAATCTCACATTTACATGCATACATAAATTAACTTCTTCAGGGTTTCATTGTGGAAAAGTTCCAGATTGTGACTTTGACATAGTCAAATGCAGCAATTGGATGGACGGGCTTGGTGGGTGGATGGGTAGGTAGGTAGGGAGGTAGGTAGGCAACTAGGTAGGTAGGTAGATATGTAAGTAGGTTGGTAGGTAGGTAGGTTGGTAGGTAGGTAGGTAGATAGATAGATAGATCGGTCGATTGATAGATGGATTGGTCGATCAATCGATCCATAGATTGATAGATAGACTGATAAATAAACAGATAGATAGATAGATAGATAGATAGATAGATAGATGGATGGATAGATAGATAGATGGATAGCTAGATAGATGGATAGCTAGATAGATAGATAGGATTTTAAATATCGCCGATGGCTAGTCGTGTAATTTACATAAATTATACCTTATAGGACACAGTAGCCATGTAGTGTTCTAAATCCGCTCGTATCTCCCTTTCCTTATCGAAATCCATAAAGTCTGTCTGAAACAACAATCATCGCATCACATCATTGCCACAATTATGGCAGACATCGAAACTTATACTGGTCACAAATCTTCCTAATGCGCAGAAATCTAAAACCTGCACATCAATTTTTTTTTTACCTCTGATAACAACCTTCGCGGAGACTTCGGCAAGGTCACCTTCCGTTTACGGACAGTCTCTGATTCCAGATGAGACCACTGAAATAGAATCGATCGAGATACGATGTGATCTACGCCAGCCTGCTTAGTTAGGTCAGTGCTGAGTGATACGCGAAAAAAACATCGAACTCAGATGTCTGAGAAGAGAATATAACATTGTTTCTGTAGATTCTGTTGTGCGCGCTATAGGCTGAGCGCGTGCTGCACTGGCGAGCGTAGCCTGATTATCTTACTATTTCTACCACGTAGGCCCTAGAGGCTGCCAAATTTTAGCCTAGGTATATCAAACTAGTCAGCTTCAAACGCACGCTAAAATCGGAGCAAACGAAAGCCGCGCGTTTTGTCATCGTCGACATATGAATGCGAGATCGGTGATACGTACAAATGTAGCCGTTCCAGCTTGTTTAATCTCTAAGCTAGGCCTAGGATTGTTCACCGCTGAAAGGTCGAAACATTCCTCCATTCGTTGAACTTCTAAGTAGTACTTACTAAAACAAGATACACCTCCGATTAATATAATGTCATCGGATTATCGGTACAACAACACACACACACGCCCCTACACGCACGCACGCACATGCGCGCACACTCGCACGCACGGGCGCACACACATACAAACACAAACACACGCGCGCGTGCCAACGCACGCACAAACACACAAACTGGTGTTTGAAACGAGTCTTGTCTTAATAATTACTTTTGTTTGGCTGTCTAGTTTTAGGTCTAATCACCGTTCTGACAACCCTTCACTAGCTCGTAAACCTCTGTACAGTTATATATAACAAAATAATCTGGCTTAAACATGTCGCACTCAGTGCCAGAATTAGCTTCAGCTAAAGTGGACTATTAAGGAGATATTCCGAGGGAAAACAAGTCACTTATACGAACGAGATAAATCGAAGCCTTATATGATACAGTATCACAATAGGTTTACGGTCGCTACAGTAACGCAGAAAGTTCGGTAACCAACCGGCTGATCGTTGCATCTAATGCAATATCGCTAATGAAATCAGCAGCGACCATGAATTATTTAGTACGAGCGAAGGCAAGACATGCACTGCGTAAGTTGATTTTCGATAAGCAGCCTCACAATTCGATATTCGTGAGCTGTATTGCCGCCCCGTTCTCCGCCGCGCGGTACCGCGACGAGCTGTGACTGTCAATGTGTCGAATACGAATACGAATACAACGGCTTTTAAACGTGGTTAACTTGGCGAATCGCTAGGGGGAATTAATTTTATTTGCCCTTGCTGGCTGTCTATCTGTTTATCAGTCCACCCTATTGCCTACCAGTATCTCTCAATCTCTCTCTTTCGTTCTCTCCCCCTCTCTCTTTCTCGGGCACACGTGTACTGCCACACACGCACGCACGCACGCGCACACACAACACACACACACACACACAACACGCGCGCGCGCGCGAGCAAGCAGGTGCGCACACTAGCAATCATGACGGACGGACGGACGCACGCACACACGCACGCATGCACATACACACACACACACACACACACACGCGCGCGCGTATACACTCACCGTCGCAAATGCATACACAGGCACAGACACTAGATACACTCTTTCTCTCTCTCACACACGTTTTCTTTAGCTCGGTCAATCCACCACTCTATTCTTCTCTCTAGATTTCTCTTTCGCGCGCTCTCTCTCGCTCTTTCAGCAACACAAAATACAAAAATTTGATCACGCAACTTAATTTCTCACCCGTAAGAAAAACTTACAGTTTCTGTGCGACCGATTTTATTAACGCCTGCAACGAAGTGCCTGTTTCTGCCATGATCGGTTCACGCTATGTCTGTACGCATGGTTTTTGAAGCCACTGCGGATGTTAAATGCAAGTCTGTGGTTTCTAAGTGTGTTTCTTGTGGTTGTGGCCCTGTGCCCCCTGCCAGCATTTCCAACGATAGTGTGGGCCACATGAAACGTCAGTGTCGTCATGACCAATAGCAATTCAAAAGGAGGCGTCATACCGACAGCCAATCAGAACGGGTACGCGCGCGCGTGCACATCTACACCTACACACACCGGGTGTACACGAATAAAGAGATCCATTCTCTACCTCTACCTATTCCTTCTACACCTGGCCACACCGCTACCGCCACTATTTCTACTTGTTATTTTTCAGGCATTTGCGCTACCTGTTACCACTGGCGCCCACAGGTCTTAAGAAAGTAGAAGCACAGAAGGATAAAATCCTCAGTCATAATAATAAAAAGCTAGGGGGTCTGGAGCATGCCACCCCTGAAAATTTTTGAATGGTAGACGTCTGGAGATGCAATCTGGTGAGTCTTGCGAGAGAGATTTAGGAACAAAATTTTTCAACCCAACATTTATGGAATGAAACATGAAACCGAACATGCTTCTATCTGCGGGCGCCACTGCCTGTTACTATACTTCACATTTATTCGCTCTCGTTCACAGCCGCAGGGTGCAGACCTTCATTGCGTTTAAAATCGCAGTTCTCCGACAATTGTCAATAGTAAGAAACATGAAATCCATTTGCAAGTGTACCAGAGACGGTTCATCGTGCATGACGACATGCGGATGCATACGCGTATTATGGACATCTACATCGTTGATGATAATAAAGAAAAATCACAGACAAGCTTATTAACCAACAACCAAACAATACCATTATATTTGTATAACTGTATCTTGATATTTACATAATATAGATAATTAATAATATATATATATATATATATATATATAAATATATATATATACAATTGTCTATAGTTCACATAACTTCATATTTCCCTCGCGACCGCGTTAATAATTATAATAAATGCATAATATCACATATTGTATAAGCACGTATAATATATATATAGATATATATATAAATATATATATATATATATTTCAAACACCTACATGTACACCATAGCATAAAAATTGGGAAAGCTAATATGCATTTGCAAGAAGTTGTAACCTGCTATTTAGGCCTCATAGTCTATAAAGTTATAGAATCAGCATTTGTAAATTTACCAACGCACAAGGAATAATCTTTATGAAATCTCAGTAAAATGCTTATTAGATTAACACATTATCAACCTTTAATTTTGAGCCAACATTACAGAATCACGTAGAAAAACAATAGAGCTCACAGGTTATTAAGCATTAGATTAGCAATTCAAAAATGCATTTAAATAAACATATAAAAACATAATGTTGATGCTTCAAATGTCCAAACAAATGTTTGCACAACGATTTAGAATTAACCATAGTTCCATATAGATTTACTGTAGAATAAGTATACACCACAGTATAATCACAGTAAGTGGTTAATAATGGTATGTTTCTGGCTCATGAGTGTAGCACAAGTAACTCTCACTGGAAGATGGTATGTGTACCACAGTTCAATTTTAGGTTTTAATTGCAATTAATAGTCAAGAGGAAAATACAATTGCATGCAAATTTCGTGATAGTGATTACAGACAGTATCTTAAATGGTCACCATGTGTCTGCGATTGAAACAGCCAGCCTGTCCGTGTCGCCATGACAACGTGTGAAAACGAGTGACCACCGGTGATACAGGAAACTGCATCTGCTAAAACAGAATGCTACCAACCAAATTAGTGACTGCACATTTTTGAGCAAGTCAATAGCATGACAATGAATTATATATATATATATATAGATATGCGGGGAGCTGAACAACACTGACTCATACTTGTCACCCATTAGAATAATATGTGCCCACAACTTGCAATTGCATTACAAGTAATTGCACTGCGAGGCTGTGTGTATCACGTGCATTATATTATGTAGGTGAGGAATAGGTTATGTCTCCATGTGTCGTCCGATGTCACCTCTTCCCCAAGAGAAGTAGCTCATCGATCTAAAATCAGATAAATAAAAAATCACTGATTTGTATGACAGCATTGAGCTTACGTTCGCCACGCCTGATCACTACCTGTAACGGATCTGTTTTAGCGTTTACAGACTGGTGACTCTCTGACTGACTGTGAGAACTGTGCCTGATGCTACTGATGGATTCGAGGCTTTCACCTTCACTACATTGCGGCTTCAATGACATTGAATGAGACAGCACTCGGTATCTGCCTTTGGGGGTCAATTCTCAAAGGGACATTGCAGCAGCCGGTATGTATTCAGCTCACCTGGGCTCGATACATCTCCTTCACATCCTGCAGGTCAAGTCTCAACTCTTCTACTTCCTCCTCCTTCTCACCGTACATGGTGAGAGCAGCATTATAACGGGTGTCAAGCGCCTGTCGAACAAAGCCCTGCGATTATGAGCATACCTTCCTTCCCTCGCTGATACTAGCTAGTTAACATTATAGCAATGTAGTTATACTACATATGGGGCCCTATATAATATATAAATACTAATATAACTAATATATAACCACCATGGCTTACACTAGTTAGCAAAGGTTGTGCATTTATTGGCCATTTAAAAATGGATGCACTGGATTTTTAGTAGATATTTTTGATACGAGAAAACATCTTAGCGGGTATCATTCAGACTGAGCTGGTAGTAATTTTTTTTTATAGCTGTGTGACTAATGATCTAAAATCAAAACGTCACCTGCACTTTTGCTCTAAGGATCGGCAATTCCTTCAGTTCTTCCTCCATTTCATTATTCTTTGATGTTAGATTGACGAGCTCCTTGGCAAGACTCTCTCTTGTTCGCTCCAAATTTCTTACCTCCGACTACAAGACAGAAACAGTCACCTTGCATACAGAGAGGATCTAAGACACACTAAGACTTTACAGTTGGGCAATTCTATATTTTCAGTCCATCCGTTTTACTAGTAATTTTTGGGCTTTTGGTTGCATCTGTTTTCGTCTAGAATTTTTCTGTGCACCATAGATAGAGCAGGAGCTGGTCGTGACTGTAACACTGACCTGCAGCTGCGCCAGCTCGCCGTCTCGCTGCTTTAGCTGCGACTCTAAATGCTCCATCATGGCTGATGTACTACCAGCCCTCATCCCCTCTTGAATGCTACCATGAATGCTCTCCGATGTGGATGCCCCAAACCACGACTGCTGCACATAATCCTGAAAACACGTAGCGGATGCCATGCTAATAAAGTTTATCTCAGTTAGATCCAAATTAAGTTAAAAATAACTTACACTGACGAAATTTTCGTCCATATCTCTGATAGACTTCCTCATAGAAAGTGTATGAGGAACTTCTACTTTCGACTTTCTATGAGGAAGTCTATCAGAGAGATGGACGAAAATTTCGTCAGTGTAAGTTATTTTTAACTTAATTTGGATCTAACTGAGATAAACTTTATTAGCATGTGAACTATAGAGATCTGATGAAATTATTCAATCAACGTAGCGGATGAGCTGATAGTATATCTAGATGACATTATAGCAGTATCTGTGACCTACGAGATAAACTGCTGTATAGTAGGCAATAAGTATTTTTATCAATATCGTCAAGATCGATAGCACAACGAGTTGCGAGCAAGTGTGGCACTAGCACGTCAGCACATGCATGTGGCATGTCAGCCAGATAATGCTTATTCTTCACATCAGAACTATACTGAAATCGAAATGGATCAGTAAGAGTGTCTGAATGACATGTACCTGTGACACGGAGACGGATAACCTATCTATGCTGTCAGCGGTACTTCTACTGCTGCCTGTAGGTGATGGTGGTGGCGGTGGCGAGGACCTCACTGCGTGCACCTCATTACTGCTGTTGTATTTAGCCTTTTCCTGGGGTTAACAATACAAAAGATCTTTGTACCAGTTACTTATAATTGCAGAGAACCACATCACATACAACTATTGCTTCACTTTCAGAAAGACAAAGGGTTAAGAGTTTCACAAGATATTATCCATTTAAAACATGTATTGTACTGTAGTTATTATTTTTAAGATGGGTGTAAGGTTATCTGCGGGGTGAGACCTTCTCCTTCAGTGCTTCATGGGCCAAAGCCACCTTCTTCTTCTCTGCTTCCAGCTTCATGGCTACCATCTCTAATCGACTCTCTAGCAGAAGATTAGCCTTCTTTTCCTCGGTGAGCTTGTCCTCAAGCTGCGTGTGCAGCAACTTGTACTCTGACACCTCCCTAAAACCAGACAACCAACACATAACGCATATGCTCAAACTAGATGCTCTCAAGTACTTTTGTAGATAACTTATATAATTGGATGTAGCTCTGCATTATGCAGTAAGTACCAGTATATTTAGATTTGGTTGCCAATTGTAATTATATGTTGAAAATAGTAATTCTTTATCAATGTTACAATGAAAATCAGTTTTTAGATAATAAAGAATCGTATGTATAATCAACAATGCTAGTTGTCATTTTTTGGCAATATTTTGCCTTTTATTTGGCAATGTTTGATTTTTAATTCAGATGACGATTGTAATAAATGTGTTCTCACCTTACTACTAATCACACTGTGTTCACTAAGTGTTCATCTGCACGCTATCATCATCATCGGGATACATACGTGACTCTGGCTTCCTCAAGCATGATCAAGCGTTGCTTCCCAGCCTCCAGGTCAGCTGTCAGACGAGATTTGTCCTGCCTCAGCACAGACAGCTGTGAGTCTAGTGACATTGCCCTACTCTGAAGCTCCATCACACGTTCCGTTAACACCTGGTCCTTTTCGCGCAGTCCTGCCACCTGGCTCTGTGAATCGGCTGCAATAACATGGGTGGTTGGCATGGAAACGTGCGAAAGAGTAGTGCTTTTCACCGGAACGCGGTCATTGATAATTTCGAGCAAACCCAATTTCAGCAATTAATCTGTTCCGAGTTTGCACAACACACCATTAGCAGATTACATAGGATGCAAAATATCAGAAGCACTTCAACAATCAATCAGATCCTGTTAGACGCCAGCTGGTAACATTCAGTAATAAGTAAAAAAGCTCCAATCGATCAGAAACGTTTCTGGTAAAAGAAGCGTGAGGAAATTTGAAGCGTGCAGGTAATGGAGAAGACTGCGTAAACTTACCGAGTCGATCCATCAGGCCTCTCTCAACCTTCTCCCAGGAACTAGACTGCTGAGCAAATTGTGACTGCACATTCTCAATCTGTCTCAACAGAGGCCGGGTCGCTGCAACCAAAGTAAATGTTTAAACAAATATTATTTTGATAAACATTACAAATACCTTTGAGAATACGAATCTCAACCAATCAGACACCTTAGATTTAATATTATGCTGATAAATGTCTCAAATCGAATGTCTAGACTGGTTCTCTGCATATAACTTATCACTCCATCACACATAAATCCATTAAATTAATTGAATAATCAGAGGAGCACCCGACCAGTCTAAGATATAATCTGTCAGTCTGTCTGTCTGTCCGTTCTTCCGTCCGTCAGTCGCTCTGTCTGCAGGATGTAGGGATAAAGGTGGATGAAGCCTTTAGAGACCTGCTAGGAGTCATTGGGATCCCCGGAGATATCATCGTATATGGCTACGGCAAAATTGGCCACCATATGTCACTAGGAAGATGCTCAAGATAGGAAGGACTGCGAAAACTGTTAAGATTCTGTTGCAGAAACACACGGAAGCACAAACGGACCCTCCATATGGCTATGCTTTGACGAAGAAGCACGCTGTTCCTACATAACAGTACTTTGCTAGCAGAATGACTAAACTCAAAGAGTCTACCAGACCAAACTTCCAACAACACATGTACCAAGTATAGCCCATGGCAATACTAACATAACGCTGCCAGTAAAGCAGGAGTAACAGAAGTCACAAAGCGACAACCCCTCTAAAAAACTACCTGTACTTCAAATGATTCTGTGTATGTTCGTGATTCCAATAGCCTTCAGTAAAAAAACCTCCATTTGTGGAAAGAAACACAAAATCGTTCCTGTTGTGGCAATGAATAGAAGCAGGCTGAAGCAAAACCACCATCATCTGCATCTGACACATCCAACAGGACAGAATTTCAGTAGCGATTGCACAAACATGATATCCAACACTCAGACCTGCCAACCCCATCTGATGATCATCAGTAATAATTATTGGATTTTTCCTTAACAAATAGGCATTTGTCAGTAACACCTTTTTGTCAGTCTTATTACAGTATAATAATAACATAATTAGCATAAAGAGGTGTGACGTCATTCAAAATGGCTGCGCCCATAAACAAGACAGACGAGCGCATAACACAGCATAATTTACCATTTTCAGTGAGTACCGTTACGTTTTAAGAGCTATTAGTCTAAATCTACAGACACAGTAGTCATGTTACATGATAATAGTTGATTTTACACTGTGTTTATTTCTTTTTTTTGCATTAAAAAATATAAATTTCAGATTTCTTGCTGTCCGTAATTTTTCGAGGTCGTCCGTAACACCGTAATTTTGACTCGCGTCCGTAACAAATTACGGGCAATACGTAACAGTTGGCAGGTCTGAACACTAGTAGCTTCAATGCCTGACCTTCTTCTTACTGAGAAAAGAACCACAGCACTGAGGAGCACAGTATCTTCAGTGACTTCACTCAGTTCATCATTCAGAAATTTGAAACGAAACTACAGATGTTACAAATTACAGATGTGTTACGTGAACTATGATGCTCGCTTGCACTCACCAAGAGAGATGTTGTGTGTGAGTTCCTGGCTTCTGGCTTCTGATTCCTGCAGCCTCTTCTGCAGATCACAAACTTCGAGGCGCAACTGATCCTCCTTGCGTGCCTGCTGTTTCTCTGCCCTCGATAAGTTATTGTGTAGATCCTCTATCTAGAGAATCATGGCAAAGATGCAAAACTGTAAATTAACTTGTTAATTCATCTCTGTCCCTGTCTTCACTCTATGTATGTTTCTCTCTCATTCTTTCTTAACCCTTCCCTTCCTTCCTCTCCCTTCTCTCCTGATTGTGCACGCTCTCTTTCTCTCACTTACCAATGATCAAATTATGTCATCTTCTAAGAACCAGTGAAAATAGCCATTATATGAAGACTTATCGATTATCCACATATAACACTACATGCCCTAAGCCAGAAAATACTTAACAGCGGATATTTGACATTCGTGATTGTGTGTACGCGTTAAAAACGCCACTATAGAGCAATAACGTGCAGGTGGCGCTCACGTTGATAACAAGTGCCTCCTGCTCATCGCGTGATTGCTGATGAGCTTGCTGTAGCGCCACCTTCATCTCATCCCTCAACACCATCTCTGCACTGAGCACTGCCTCCTGACTCTGGCTGTCCACCGAGGCTCTCGCTTTATGCGCTTCTGCAAGCTCCCTGCCAGAATGTAGCAACACAAGCATTTGAGTGCCGAACACGCTAGACGAAATTTCGCATCACCTTTAATCATTCTGATTGCGTTACGATAGCCTAATCTTGTTATGATTAGGCTTTGAATATTAGGAGACTATTCCATTCTTATTTTCTATAGGTACGGCAATACGTTTACAGTGCCCGATAAGAGATTTAAACATTGAGAAAGATTATGGTGCGTATAACGCGTTCCAAGAAGCCACACATATGACGCATTGAACCTGTAGGAATTGTCAAGAGCAGCCTGCATGCCACCCATTTTCTCCTGTGCTCCTTCAAGGTCACCGCAAATTCTTTGTAGCTCCTTCTCCTTCTTCTGGAGAGTAGCATCCAGCTGCTTGATGGCTTCCAGGTGATTCTTCTCCATGGCTTCACGTGCCTCTAATACCCGATGTAGTCTTTCGACTTCCTCCGTCTGCTCCTCAAGCTTCTCGCTGTAATACACATTGGTATGAGTTTACGTCAATTTCCTGCCGATGAAATGCGGCAACTGCGGAAAAAACTATGAAAATTCTATGTACCGTTGTTTTGTAATGATGGCTTCATTCTCCTTTTCTTTGACTCTCAGCCGTTTGATAATGTTCGACTGCTGTAGTTGCTGCTTTGATAGCTTCTTACCTATTTGAAAGCAATTGTGTCACAACGAGTCAATGACCAACAGTCAGCTAAGAGGTTATGGCAACAACTCTCTTGTTCAGAAAATGCAAAAAATATTATGCATTCTTTCTAAGACCATACTGTAAAACTCGGAGTAAACTTACAAGTTGGCAAACATATTTTTACATGGTTACATTAATTATTGTGACAATAACCACACACCCTCTTCCATGAGACCAAGAATCTGTTCTTCCTTTTCCTTCAGTAGTTGTGTGGTCTCTGCCATGTTCATACGAGAAGATACTTCTTCCTGAGCTACCCTAAGCTGTCTCTTCAAGGCATCCCGCTCCTAGGACAGAAATCATGCAACACGTCTTAGACATAGCAACCTACATACTGTCAACCCCCTGAATGCTAGCAATGACGTAACTGCTATTGTATAACGTTAATTTTATGGAGGGAAAATCGGCACGGTGATTACGAACATAACATTATTACCAAACACAATTAGGCATGGGCTGCAAAGAAACAAGATTCAGGGGGATTTATATACTGTTTTAATACAGTGATTGTTGATACACTGTCTGAGATCTTTTCATTGGTAGTTATATGCAAGAGTATATACCCTGGTTACAGTCTTTAGTCTTTTCTCTGCTTCAGAGATCCTGGCAGTAAATTCTACAGTCAATGTATTTAGGTCAGTGTTCTCTGCTGCATATTCTTGCTCCTGTTGTGCGATCTGGCTGCAAAGCACACGATACTTTTACAACTAAGCGAGATCATATGAGAGTGAAGTGAAGTGAAGTAATTAACCGATGAATATTGTAACTGTTACTTGTTATGTCACTTGTTTCAGAATCCGATTAAGCAAACAAGACTATCAGACTAAAAAATTCGATTCAAGTCACAACACGTGCTTTGTGGTATGCAAACTAGGGGACATGATGACACGAACCAACTAATGCATAAAACCACCATATCGACATTGGTATATAGAAATACTTTCGGAGGATGTTGTTTGTTTCTCGAACTGCCACGTTTTCCTTGCTGTACTGGAGTAGCTGGGCTTCTCTAGCTTGGAGGACTTCCATAGACTCTGCCAATTTCTGAAACGTTGAATATTGTGTTACACAATGATAATTCTGCCAATTACTCTAGATAACACCGCTTGAAGTATAAGGTACTTAGCCTACCAGTAGCATTCCCAATCTGGATATAAACACGACTGCAAGAGAGTTGGAAAGTTTTAAAGAAGCATACTATATAGGAATACTTGTAAGAAGCTATTAATGCACCAAGGTATTCAATAGCTCAGTATAACCCCTAGATGCGTGAGAATTCCAAGTTTCCAAGTCTGTCATAAAGCGGAGTGCAATAGCGAGAAACAACGTGAGACAGCAAAACAAGAGGTTAGAAAGGTGGCAAGATGGAGACAATGGCCTAATGATAGGAAGTGAAACTCATTCTTAAGTCTGAGTTCTCTATGTTTAAAGGGTGTTGGTGCACTCTGATAAAATAAATATAGGGAACACCTCCTGTGGCCAGGGCCTAGCTCTTGTCTCTTAGTTCTTGGGCTCTTGGGTGAATTAGAACCACAACCTACAACAAGCTCGAGCAAGATAACATTAAGACCCGAAAACCAAGCTAGAAGCAAGAGTAACCAGTAAATGGACAAGCGAATCAAATTATATTATTGGCAAAACTATTATTTTTACTACCTAGAAGAGGTGTAAAATGGATAAATCTGACACTTTCCAAATTCCTTACCCTCAGATACTACATACAACACTGCACAAAGGCCGGGGTACAGGCCACAGAGGTTAGCAAGATATATAGAGAAAGGGTCTGAGGAATTTGGACAGTGGTTCAATACATTGGAGGTACAATAGCGAATTACAAAATGCACAGGGGTGCTAGTGTTGTAATTGCCAACCTTCTAAGAATTGGAATGGGCACAATTTGAATTGAATTAATCAGAAGAATTATTCAAACTATTTTAGCTTGCTACAATAGAGGGTAAAGTAGAGTAGGAGAAGGCAAAATAAAGAGCCAACCAAAAGTGTAAAATGTGAAAAAAGTAAAATGGGAATTAAAAACACGAGTCAAAAAGTATATATGGTAAAAATAAGGTAAAGGAACCTAATAGTAATTTCAGACTTTGACTCTTGACACTCCGACGTGTCAACTCAGACACTTGAAAACGAGTGGATAGTATTGGAACGTTTCAAAACGTAGACTGCAGGTCACCCCACCGATGAATAACATATTTCACAGGTTCAGAACCTATGGGGTCAAATTTATTGAAGCGATCCAGGTTTGATAATATAAGAGCAACTGAAACGATAATGATCACAATATGATATGAAGATAACACGATGTCATGGTGACCATTTGACTTTTGGTTACAATTACCCTTTGTATTCTCCTTTATAATATCTTTGCATAATTATTTGTTGGTAAAAAGTACAGAGAAGAATTCTCTGTATAGCAGGGTTGATATATTTGTAGAGTGGCCCATTACCTTCAGTAATCTTTCTACCTGCTCTGGGTCGCCAGCAATACTAGCAATAGCTGGACCAACCTGGTGACCTATAATGCAAAAATAGCAAATTAGTACAGGAGACAATCAAACTAATTCACTTTTTAATAATTTCAATTAAAGTAGTCAGATATGTTGTCTATTGGATTGATTGCACCACAAACACATAAAGATGCCACAACTGATGTAGATGGACCCCCCCCCCCCCAGAGACACGCAAACGACACACTTTCGAGGAAGGCACCGCGTGCATTACAGTATTGTCACTGTTCAAACTGAAGTTTGAAGCCAAGGTTAAAGGAGGCATTGCTAGAAAAGCTATGCATGGTTTAGATGGCAAGCTTGAAATTGCTGTTGATGTTATTGTAATAGTTCCTCTAATTGCTTGGAATCAGCACAGTGCTGGGAATCCACAGCAACAAGGAAATTCACACTGTTCACAGATAAAAGTTTTTCTCTTGATATTAATGAGCAAGGCATTGCTGAAGCTTGGCTGTGGACGATCGACTGGTGTTCTTTAGATGTTCAAACAATCAGCTCAGTCTTGTCATTCAAGGTAAGTTTACAATAATAAAAGCTCATAAAAATTACAAATAATACAGATCATGAAGAAAGACAAAGCACATGATCTAATGTTCCATCAAGTGATGAGATATTATTTAACAGTCATACCCATACGTCGAATCTGCCTCTGGTCCAAGACGGCGGAGTGTTGAGACCCGTCACTGTCAACATGCTTCTGATACTGTTCCAGATCCAGTCTTGACAATTTCGACAGATATTGCTTCATTGGCGATATCTCATATCTAGTACATAAGAAAAGATGCGTGTGATATTTACATACAAAAACTCAATGTAGTATATGTCAAAACTTATACGAATGCTTTATAAATAATAATAAGAAGAAGACGAAGAAGAAGTAGAAGAAGAGAAGAAGAAGAAGAAGCAGAAGAAGAAGAAGAAGAAATAGAAGAGAAGAAGAAGAAGACGAAGAAGAAGTAGAAGAAGAGAAGAAGAAGAAGAAGCAGAATACTAAGAATAATGTTCTCAACAAATATCACCACGCAATCATAACCGCAGTTACCTATATCTGCTTGCAAGCTTGATTTGCCCATGTCCTGAAATGCATTTGTGCACTTATCCCTCCATGGATAAATACCATATGCATACATTCATGCACGTACTCACGCACGCACACTCGCACACACGCACGCACGCACGAACGTACTCACGCACGCATGCACACATGCACACTAATGCATGCGTGCACACAAATATGCAACTGCATGCATACACACACTCACAACAGTCACATTGATGCTGTAATACAACTCATACCTGTGTTGGCCATTGTCAGAGAATGCAGATATGACCTCAATGTCGGAGGAAGTCGTTGTGCCAATGTCATCGCTAGATGTGTGGCCGCTGTTGATATGGTCTGACCGGTCAGATGAGGTAGGGGAATGTGCACTGTGCTCTCCTTCAGTATTGTCCACCATTGCCTCCTCGATCATGCACTTCACAAACGAGCTAGCTGTGCTGGATGCGGTCAGTGATAAAATGCTGTCACTGTCCTGATTCTGTGACAGCTCCTTACCTCCCTCTGCTGCAGAATCTGTCCATGGTGACCCTTCTAGTCCACTCTCCGACTTACTAGACGTGGCGTCTACATCAGTGATCGTTTCTTTGGTGGAATCTTGTTGGGTTTCTAGTGCATCGCCTGGCATTCTTCTAACAGGGTTCGTTGCGATTTGTGTGTCATCATACTTTTCATTTAGAAGATCAACTGCCCCTGCATCTGTGAAACTGTTGTCGGACATCTGACCTTCTTCCACCTGCTCTAAGCTAGAAGTTACAATCTCTTGACCTGGGCTATTGGTGATGACCAACTCTCCTAGTTCTCCTAGTGTATCGGTAACTACATCATGTACCATGGTGGTGGTAACCAATTCCTTCTCTAGGTTTGTGCTGGCTTTCTTATGCCCTAACGTGGTAGTCACTACATCTTCGCACGTGACTGCAGTCACTACGTCTTGCCCTACAACACTTGTTACTTTGTCTAGCTCCTCAGCTGTGGCCAGGGTTGCTTGCTTTGTGCCTGTGCTTATTATGCCTTTCTCCATAGAATTTTTATCCGCCTCCTGCCCCAGATGGGCACCTACTGACTCTTGATTGTCAGTCACTACCGTATCGGTACTTGTGTCTGTTGCATCCTCAGACTGAGTGGAGAATTCTTCTTCAGCACCACTGACTTCTATAGAATTACCTATTTTTACAAAAGACGAGGGCACCTGTGTGATTCCTGGTGCAGATGTGACCACGTGCACTACAGGCTGTCCATCATCGTCAAAGACATTGGGTATTTCGGGAGGCAGCACTTTGCTAGTAGGCAAAGTATGTGTAGCTTTCAGCGCAGTTGGCCCCGTCTGATGGTCACACAAGAGAGTTGTGCTATTTGTGGAAGATGACTGCAATCCGTGCGGAGAGATTTCACTTTTATCTACAACAGTATCTTGGCTGCTTACGCTTGTCTCAACGTCAACAGATGCGAGAGGGTCAGTCATGCACGATTGGGAATCCTCAGGCAGATCTCCCTCACCTTGCACCTGATGAGCACATGGAGCCTCTGCCTCTGTTTGCACTGCCTCGCCTGTCACATCCTGTCCTAGAGTAGTCGTCGTTAACACCACTTCTGAAGTTAAATCCATCTCTGGTGTACATGTTGTTACCGTATGACTCGCATAGCCTTTCTCCATAGTGGTTGATTTCTCAATTCCACCCCAGTGCCTTATATTGCCACGATTACCTTGTCCTAGTATGGCAATGTCATTTCCTACCAAAACATTGGTGTCTTGAGCACTTCCACTGGCAACCATACTGTTGCTTATGCTATCTGCAGATACCATTTTACTCCATGTCATGCTCTCCTGCAGTGTTAGATTTCCACCTTCTGTTTCTATAGCAACTAGTGACACCTCATCCAACCTGTCATTGTCCATCTTAATTTCATTACATGGTTTTTCGTCTGCGGTTTCCGCAACACTATCATCAGCTATACGCTCTGTAGAAGCTGTAGCACTGTAACTCTGTATAATCTGTTGCCCACTGCCAACTGTACCACTTTCATCAGATTGATAAACTCCATCAACCGTACGATGGTCGGCACCACCTACATGTAAAACATCTCCTGAAGATTTAGAAGCAAAGACTCCCTCTTCTAGATAACTATCGCAAGCATTTCTTTTCTGTGGTTCCCCATATGTAAGTGTATTTGACCCCACAGATTCAGATATAGTACAGGTTGAACCTGCAGTTTCTTTGTCTAATGACGGCACAGGAGGCAAGAGCTGCTCAACAATCTTCTGGCTCACAGCAATACTTTGCATGTGTGCATCTTCAAGTTCTGTGGCACTAAGGTCACTGGAATGAGCTGTGTTTGGGGACAGCCCACGCACATGTAATTCAGCAATCGGTTCGACGACTTTGTCAGCAGGCTTCGATGTTTGCAATCCTTGTTTTATTTGTGCACGTGGTTGGCTGCCTATAGAGGGAGCATCAAGTTGTGGTTCAGGGCACTCTAGAATAGCAGTAACATCATCCTCTGGGTTAGGTTTCTTATGCACAGTTTTGCAAGGAGATGCCTCTGCAAGTTTAGGTTTTTGAGAGTGAGCAGTGTCACCTAGAAAGTCACTGAAAAAAGTATCACTGGTATCTCCTACAGTTGTTTTAATATCAGATGTAATGGGCGAGTCACATTCCGCTGATGTCCTTGCAGTAGTTACAGAACCTGCAATATTCAAAGAACATGTGGTAGTGTTTTTGCCGTTTGTTCCTTAATATGTCAATGCAATTATCATATATTGGAATAGATTGACTATGCTGATGTACAAATTGTATTGTGTAGAAAATTCTAGAAATGTTAAGTTTGGGGATTGTATCGATGGATTCTGTCGACATAAAATTACTCATGTAAAACTTAACCACCATGACCTAATCATAAAAACACATCAACTGAGGACACACAGACATGTTCCAATTATCATATCAATCTGTACATTTCATAGCCTTACCTTTCTCTGTGGTCGACGTATCACTGGCATCAATATCTAGAACTTTGTCGATTTTTTTCTGAGCTTGAGTCAGAGCCGACTTAAGAGCCAGGTTTGTATAGGAGCTAGCTGATGATAACCAATTCATCGCTGTGAGGTTGCACGCGTTTCAATATCGTCAATGATTTGTAACCTAAACATGGATCACACAAAAAAGAATTAACATACGACATATTGTGACGATCCCCACAATTCCATTTTATAGTTACTATATATTAAAAAAAACCTCATGATTGTGATTGTGATCCTAATGTAATATACAGATTCTGATTAGTTTGCATTCTTATTATTGTACATATTTGTTTAGGATGCCGTTGTCTAATCTCAATCATTTGATCTGCATTTGTGCATCTGCCCCCAAGTTGGGGGACCCAACTAATGCTGAGGGGGTCTATGTCCCCCAGGGTACTATCGGACGGTACCCTGGGTACGGTTCGATATATCGGAACGTACGCCTGGTACTAATCTAATATGCCGGACGTACATCGCCTACTCCACTGAACGGTCTAGGGAGTGCGCGCTACGCCTACTAACGCATCAGATAGTTACCAGGGTACGTTTCCGGATATATCGAACCGTACCCAGAGTACCCTCCAATAGTACCCTGGGGGACATAAGACCCTATGAGCCCCGGCACTATGCACGAAGGGTCGTTCTCGTGATCAGGTACTACATATATGTACGCGAGGTAGTTTTAGGTTGTTTAGTATTATGTTTATATTTTTATATGAGATATGTTTGGGTGTTAGGGTTAGGGTTATGGTTAGGGTTAGGGTACCACTTCTGTAGTAGCACAGTCTGGTACCCTTTGGCTGAGAGGTCTATGTCCCCAGGGTACTGCCGGAACGTACCCTGTGGTACGGTCCGGTATACCGAACGTACCCTGGACTATCTAATTGCCGGACCGTACCTCGCCTACTCGCACTAACGAGTCCTAGGAGTCGCCTACTCATAACCCTAACTCTAACCCTAACCCTAACCATATCAGGTTTTTAACAAAATGATAAATACATGGATGGACAAGAAATGCATGTGTGCAATCATGTGTAGGTTCAGGTGTAGATACAATAATGTAACCCAAACACAGGATAGGGGTTACATTAACTGTACATAACCTATCCTGTGTTTGGGATACATTATTGTATCTAGTTCAGGTGATGTGCAATTATATTTAACAGCAACATGAAATGCATGTAATTGCAATTGCATTTTCATTGATCATATACATTGCCCACAGCCCATACATTGCAAACAGTAAACATGTCGCTTTAGGGACCATTCATTATTATTATCTTGGATAGGGGGTGGCAAAATAAGAAAATGCCATAAAAGTTATAAACACCCCCCCTTACAAGGAATGTAGACTGTACAAGTACCCCCCCTATCCCTGCATGATTTGAAGTTCATACATACCCCCCGCTAACTTCAACTAATTGTTACATTTGATCTTACTTCTATCATTTCCTCAGCAACTGAGCAGAGTCAATTATGAGGGAACATGTCAAAATGTCAACATTTTCCAGTTTATAATATGGGGCATTGGTTCACCTTTATACCACGCACTCATGTCAGTTGAGTTTATACAAGTTCATAGGGATAAAACATGTGGCAATGATGAAAATTGTCATTGCAAGTATAAAACACATATGATTACAAGATGGTCCATATAGAAATATGGTATACTGACTCCTGCGGATGAGTACAAATCAAGGTCTTGAAGTATCGGTGCTATTACACGGCGAGCAGGTTAAAGAACCAGAAGGCACATTTGTAATAGTACGATAATAGCAGAGTAAATGGTTAGCTCAGGTTTTTCTGTAACCTAAACCCCTCGCTCTGTGGGGCGGCTGTAGATTGACTCTGTGTTATCTGTCATAAAGCCTATAGAATCCAATCCTTACCCTGGCCATAAAGTAATACTAATACTACACATTGATATAAGTGCTCTTTCCAAGAACCGTGTGGTTGGTTGAGTATTCTGGCCAGATCTGCTTTTCATGTTTGCAGCCTCTCCAATTGCCTGAATTGGAGTACGTGTGCTGTCACTGTCACTGTCACCATCTGAAGATTCTGAATTAATAGATTCACTCTCCAAATCACTGTGATAGTCTACAACTTGTGTCACTTCATCATCTGACTCGGAATCACTGTTCTCACTGTCTGCATCACATGGCACCCTAGCACCAGGAAAGATTTCCTGTCCATGATTTTTTGCCACATGAGCTATGACACGCCTGAGCTTGTCTGGTTTCTTGCCAGCACATGATAGATTGTTAAACAAGGAATATTTATTTAGCTCCTGAACATTCAGCTTTCCCAGCTTCCCTGTTGACACCAGGTCATACCAATCATATTCAGAATAAGCCTTGTTCTTTCTGACCAGCTGCTGTGTTTGTCTATTCCCACTCCGAATTGTCTTTACATGGTCCAAATTCGTCAAATGGCACAGATATTCCTTGAGCACGTTTTATGGGACAATGTATTTGTCAGCGAAAGAACCTGATTGCTGTCTCAATCATCGAGTGATATCTCTCCAGCAGCTATAAGTTGCTTTGAGACAGCACGAGTTGAAAGTATATGCCGGCTCTCCTGGTTTCTCGGCACGCAGGCTGATCGCAAACTGGTCTCAATACACTTTGGTAGTGATACTCAGGCAGTGTGGTTGTAAATCTGGGGCTGGTCTCGGAATCGCTTGTAATGGCGTGGAAGCCATTCCAGGTATGCATAGAGCAAACTCACACAACGCACCAAACCCAGTCTCGACATGACCTCTTTTAAATATTCGCATGTACAACTCACCAAATTGATAATGCTGGTCAATGAAACTTGTATAGTCTTGCTAAAGTATCACTGCTGCCCTGCGACATTGGATTTGGTACTGGGGTAGCACCTCAGTATACTGTCTCAAATAAGTTAGGGAGAGGGAGGGGGAGGGGAGCAGGGAGAGGAGAGAGAGAGCAGGCGGAGAGAGAGGGAGAGGGAGAGAATACGGGCGGAGGGAGGAGGGAGAGACGGTAATAGAGGGAGAGACGGGAGAGCACGGGAGAAGGGAGAGACGCGGGGAATGGGAGAGGGAGAGACTGGGGAAGGAGAGAGAGACAGCGAAAAGGGAGAGGGAGAGGGAGAGAAGGAGAGACGGGGAGGGAGAGGGAGAGATCGGGAGAGGGAGGGGAGGGAAGAGGTAGCAGAGGGAGGAGAGGGAGAGGCGGAGAAGAGGGAGGAGACAGTAGAGGAAAGAGCAGGGAGGGCGCAGGTAGGAGGAGGCGAGGGGGGGAGGGGGGAAGAGGGAAGGGAGATGGGTAGCGAGCGAGGGGCGGCGGGAGCAGGGGGCGGGGGAGGGAGGAGAAGATGGGACCCGCGCCGGCCGGCGAGGCTGGGGACGGAGGAGGAGAAGGTAGGAAGATAGATAGGGGTCGTGGGGGCCGAGAGGGAAGGAAGGATCGACTGATGGGAACGAGGGATTATGGCTCGGGGGGGAGACGGTGAGAGGCCGACCGAGAAGGGTGACCGAAGTAGGGGAGTGAAAAAGGGGGAGCAAAGAGAGGGGGAGAGGTGGGGGGGGGAGGGAGTAGGTAAGTGTGAGATGAAGGAAGGAGGGGGTGAGGGAGAGAGGGGGGAGGGAGGGAGAGGCGGAAGGGGAGGAGAGACAATAACGAAGAGGAGGGAGGTGATAAGAGGTTTGGAGGATGCACGATGAGGGCGGGAGTGGGGGGTGAGCGGGGGCGGCAGCGGGGGCAAGGAGCGTCCGGCTGGTCACAGGGCGACGGGCGCCCACAGACCGCGGGCCCTCGGAGCGAGAGGCAGGGAGAGGGATGAGTGCAGATCTGGGGGGCAGGGAGAGAGAGGCACGGGTGAGGGAGATGAGGGGCCACAGGAGGGACTAGGGCAGTAGAGATTATTGTAACGGCCGGCGAGTCGTGTGCAACAAATCTAAATACTCGCCTCGGATAAATAGTCAACCGCCCCACACTCACCACAAACTGTTATCAGCTAATGTATTAAGAATTGTGTTTTTTCACGCAAATATGTGTGGGCGCATAATGGCTACCAATGGTGATAATATATGCATACACACACCCTTGCCAGACACATATATAATAATATTCCCAGACATAATTACCATGAGTTTTCAAATATGCGTATGATTGTAATCATTAGCAATGCAGTAGGCGGCTGAAAGTCGTTTGAAATGCCGGGTAGGGCTCCGGCTACGCTGCGTGAGATCGGTAAGTTTTCTGGCATGTATACCATTTATATATATGGTGCAAAGTTGCGCGACATACTCCGCCCCTATTAATGATGGTCGAAGAGTTATATTGTACCGCCCCCTAGTTAGCGGATGGTGCAAAGTTGCATGTAACGCCCCCTATCGTTTGCTCGCACCCCCCCTATCAAAGAGAGTAACATTATGAATGGTCCTTACATTCACTTTTTTATCATGGACCGACATACCTGTATCTTAAACTTTGTATATTTTTAATGAAATTGAATATGTTGTTATACCCGTTACTGTTTTTATACATTTGTTAGATATCGGTTAATAAAGAGCTTTCCAGCTCATGTTCACTGTTTTAAGTGTACCGATGAAAATTAAGATTATCTACTACTACAACTACTACTACTACAACATGGCCAGAAGTAATATGATCTAGAGTTACGGATAGGGATAGGATTTGGTTGGAGCTTATAAAATATAACTTTTTTGTTGATGTTGTGGTAATTGCTATACGAGGTTACCTAGCTTTCAGATCGCGGATGGTATTAATAATTTCACCGTGTATAATTGTAAGCACTTAGGCCTAACAATGTATTAAGTAATATACCGGTATACCGTATATATAATTACTGTTTTGGAATATATTTTTGATTTTGAATTTGAGTAGGTCTAAATAATAATGCATTCATTGATTCAATGATTCATCATCATGGGTACTAATACTATTATTACTACTATTCAGGTTGGCTCCAGTCTAAAACTAAAAGCACATAAACGTACTAACAGTAACACTAACAGTAACTGTAAAACATACATCAGTAGCCGCATATCATGTGCAGATCATGCCCAGTAGACAAAAATAAATTGTACTATCACAGAACAACATCACCAACATGGCTCCATGTTGATTACACGTCGAACCAAACACAAAATTGTTATCTCAATGCAACGTATACGCCCGATAGACCAAGGGGATAGATATGGCGACCACTGCCTATCGAAGCCCCAGTGGCGCAATCGGTTAGCGCGCCGTACTTATAGACAGTACCGTCTCTGAGACATGCGGAGGCTGTGAGTTCGAGCCTCACCTGGGGCAAGAGATTTTTTGTTACCTTGCTTGTTCCGTCAGTTTGTCCTTCTTTACGTCAACGTTCATCACTAATTTAATATATCAACCGGTTTCTATATATCCATAATTACTGCAGCACGAGTTGAACTTCGTATACGTGTGATTGCAGCCAAGGGCGTAGCCAGGAATTTGGATTGGGGTGGTCCTCGAGCGAGTAACAAGGGGCCGGCTGGGTCTGGTGGTCTGAATTTTTTTTTTAGTTAAATGTAAAAATAATAAATTTAGACGCTGTTTTGTTGACAATATTATTTCTTCTGCAACTCTACAACGACCATGCTGTGTGACTTAATTACTGCTGATGTATACTTAAAATTATGTTTCCGGCTTTGAATACCTAGGTATAAAAAATAGTATATAAATAAGGTCATAGTATAAAACGTATATAAACAAGTATATACAAGAAAATAGGCTTATCTGATAATTTAATATTGTAATTGAGAATTTTTTTAACGGAGGCCAAGATTAGGCAGCCTACGTATACGCGCTTTTCAAATGAGAAAAAGTTGTTCGTTTTTTTGGATTTTGATTTTTGATTGCGGGTGTCTAAGCGGCGCCCCAAGGATCCCCCCCTGGACTACGCGCTTTGATTGCGCTTACTGTACGCTTTGTATGATGATAGCTGATTGGAATCACCATGGAATCACTCAATATAAAAATCGTTCTCTCTCTCTCTCTCTCTCTCTCTCTCTCTCTTCTATTACTATATACTGTCAATATATATATATATATATACACATATTCATATATATATATATACACCCTTCATAGAAATCACAGAACAATATATTATCATGATATTCTACATCAAATCTCTGCATATTTCTTGTAGAGCCAAGCCAACTATGATTCGAATGGGTTCTTGGTGTATTATAGCCCCGCGTATTATAGCCACGCGTATTTTCAATCAAGACAGTGGCTACATTGTAAAATTTGTCAGTCGTCGAAGAAGAACAACCAGAGCATATAATTAAATCAGCATATAAATGTTGATTTATATGCTCTGGAACAACTTTAAGAAGAACTGCAATTTCATTTCTACTCAGCTATACCGCTATTTAAATATGTAATTGTTTGCCAATAATGTATGCAGATATAAATTACTCGAGTAGTAGTTACGTGGAATATATTGATGAGGAACGATTAGATTGTTAGATTATAGGTCGCTATCGCTACACGAAAATGACTTTGTACACTGGCTAGCGAAACATTGTGTGGTGCGCTGTGATAGTACGTGTGCGTGCGTGCGTGCGTGCGCGCGCGCGTGTGTGTCACACACAGTGTGTGTGTGTGTGTGTGTGTGTTGTGTGTGTGTGTGTGTGTGTGTGTGTTGTGTGTGTGTGTGCACGTGCACGTACTCACGCACGCACGCATGTGTACCCACGCAGGCACCCATCTACGCACGAACGTATACGCACGCACGCATGTACACACGCACGCATACACACGTGTACGCACGCTCGACACACAGCACGCATTCGAGCGTGTAACGCACGCATCCACGGTGGTAAGCACGCACACGCGTGTACGCACGCACACACGCGTGTACGGCACGCACACACGCGTGTACGCCACGCCACACACGCGTGTACGCAGGCACCACTCGGTTTACGCAGCGAGAACACGCGCTGTAGCCGCATCACGACGCACGCACGGTGTACGCTGGCGCACGCACGCGCTGTAGGCACGCACACACGCGTGTACGCACGCACACACGCGTGTACGCACGCACACACGCGTGTACGCACGCACACACGCGTGTACGCACGCACGCACGCACGCACGAAAGCAGGCACACACCTCTATTATGGACTCTTGATATATATAATTATGCGTAGTATTTTTGTTGGGTATTTTTTGCCCTTTTAAAATAGGTGCGACATTTTAGAACAAAATGCCTTTAGGCACATAGCATTCATCAGGTTTCATAAAAAATGTGTTTGTTATACAATTTGTGAATTTATTCTTGGTAGACTAGTTATTTAAAATCATAAATTTAAAAATGATTGCAATAGAATGTATACGTGAATAATTACCTATACATCTATGGTATATAAACTATGTAATGCCTATGGTAATAAAATCCATGGTTTAGTAAGAGTATAATTAGTATCAGAAAATGAGAAGAGGATTAGTAATATCATCAGGAGTAAGATAATATAGGTTATTATCTATTATCTTACTCATTATTATATATCTCCTGTATTATCTTACTCCTGATATCATGTATATTCTTTGGTATAACAGTCGCTGTACAGACGCATCCCTGTCATTTCATCGAATTCCCAAAGAACAGTCTAGGCAAGAACATTGATTGAATCCTATTAAAAGGATTGGTGTCTGATACAGAGTGACCATATTTGCGGATGTCACTTCACATCAGGTAAGGTAGAGGATAGGGTTAAGCTAGACAAGTGGATGTCTAGTTCTGTTTCTGAATATCAGGAAGCTGTAGAAGGCAAATGTAAATGGTGCGCACAATGCTTTTCCACCAACCTGTGCACTCAACTGCGGCTAAAACAGTACATTACATGAATTCTTATTCATACTTTTACCTTTACTTTATTCAAGAAAGGCTAGCAATTAATATTATATACGTACTGATCCTGGCTATGTTCCCACAGTAAAAATGAGATAAACAGCAGCCAGTATTCTTCAGAAAGAAAGAAAGATGGCAAGGTTATTGTAGATAACTTCGCAGCAGACACAATTAAATGCATAGTACATATCATATATGTTCAAGAACGTATTAAGTATGTACATAAAGTACATATTTAATACGCTCTTGATATGTTGTTACTGGTTTAAGGACAAATACCCCCCGGACAATTAACCCCCAGAAATTGAGCCCCCGGACAATCACCCCCCGGACATTTACTCACTTGTTGTTTATTATTCATTGTTGAACAGTGATACAGGGAGGAGGT